ATAATCCTGAAATTACTTGGGAATTTTGCATGCAAATTAGTGTTTTCACGGGCTTTATGTGGTGAAATTTTACGACAAAACTTTAATTATCTGTTGGAAATATTGTTTAATTGAGGATAGAGGAAGGCTGACACATGTCCTTCTCATCAAAAATTCCAGGTTTTTTATGTCTATTTTATCTGTTTACGACACCATTCCTATAAAATCCATTTTTGTCTGCAGAAATTCTTTGTTTTCTGAAAGACACCATCGTTATTTCATTATTCCTGAAATGCAATCGTCCGGCCGTGCATCAATTATCAATGCATAATCTTATTGATGATTTTAAAAGAATTATACAAAAAATGCAGGAACTAGACAGAGAGAGTGCTAAGGGCAACAAGAGTCTGATTTTATTAGGTTTCATTGTCTCCAAAGATTCATTACGTTCTAGTCAAAGCTCACAAAAAATCGCATATTTCCCCAATGACAAATTTGACATAATCAATGACATTTTTTCTAGTATTGAGTTTGATAAAACCAGGCACAAGTTTCCAACTAGATCACTTCAAAGTTTCGTTGCTGTCACCGGTTTATATTTATCACAAGAGGAAAATTGACATGAAATTTCTTGTTGATTGACGTCAAGTCAGAACAATACTGAAATTCTCACATTTTCTTGCACAAAAAATAGTAGAAAGTTAAACTTACAATATGTCGACCTTCACGAACTAAATATTTTTTATTCTAGATTTCATTCACATTTACATCTAGCAGAATATCTCGATAGAATTTAGAAAACATGTTCTGCGGTACAAACCAGATTGTAGATATATCTACGAGGACTGGTTGAAAAGTTCTAACTGTACCATTTTTTCTTTTTTATCTATTCCTTTCATTTAAACACCAGCGATGCGGAAAGGTCTTGATTCTGGTCGAGAAATTTTATTCGGCTTACCCAAAAAAAGTAATCAAAGCGGAAAAACTTATCACATCTAGGATAATGGCAACCGGCTATTTTTTTCTTATTTTGGAAACAGGTCTCATCTGTTTCATCAGCGGGTCAAAAACTGAAGGGGCATCATCTCCTAAAGTGGAGACCATGACAGCATGTTTTGTGTTGGAGCCCTGTTAGTTGCAGGTATTTGATGAAAGCCCGATAGGCAGTTTTGTCCATTTCTTGTGATTTCCAGAGGAATGTTCAAATGATGGCGTAGAATGCATGATGACAGCATTGAAACATCATTGAAGTCTAATCCGGCTGATGTATTGTGTTCCGGAAGAGTAAAACAATCGGAAGATTTTCCTGTGGGATTTCTTAACATTCTTCACATTTTGAAGAAAGAAAAGTAAGAAGAGATGAAAGAGAATAAGGGAGGTGATTAGTTTATTTTGATATGCTTACAAAGACCGGATCTATTTTGTTATTCTGTCATTTTTATAATACCGTATAAATGTTTTTGCAAAACGACATGATGTGGAAGTAGAAGTTGGATACAATATAATGTCAAAATTACGTTATATTTCTATTTCTCTGCTGGTATCTGCTAAATTGAAAGATTTTAGCCAATAGCCTGCTTCAACTGGGATATAATACCATTTCGTATCTTTGTTCGCTTTTAGGAATAAAACCATATGCCATAGACAGGGCAATATCAAGAGAAACCAAGAGAAATGCCTTACCATAACCAATATAATATCGTCCACAAATAAACTTCATTGTTTAAAAATTCCGAGAATTAGATGAATTTGGTTCGGTATTTCATTTAATTTCGTGCACACTTTAATATCTCTTGTCTTCTTACTGGAGAAATAAACAGGTTGTTTGAAGTTAGCTTTGTTTTCAATAATACCGTTTTCTAGAATACGTTTTAATTGTGATTTATTCTCTGGGAAATGTCGAGTTTCTCTGATGTCCTCCTAAATGTTCAGGTTAAATGTTCAAATTAGTTTTCTTTTACACAGATAAAATAAAAGAAAAGTTCATTCTCCAGACAGTTTTAAATAAAAGTTTTTTTTTTCTGTTTAAATTGCTAACGGTTTAAATCATCCCATTTGATGTAGAAAAACATTTTTTGAATGACTTTAATGGTCTAAAATAGAATTTCTGCTTATTTTTCTTTCTACACGTTTTATTGATTGATATATCAAAAGTGTCCCCATCCCAGCTTATAAACCCTTGTTAGTAGTTAGTTATAGAAAACTTGAATATAGACTTACTAATTACACACTTGGTGAGTATTACAATGTCGAGTCATGAACTTCTCATTAAATTGAACATTGTAATTAGGTAACAGTTGCAATATCCAGAACGTGTTGGCGTGAGTTAGACGCTCGCTAGACTGAAGGTCGGGGTTCAATCACGGCATTGGTCGAGATAATACCTTCGGATTTTTCAACCCGGTTTTCCCCGGTCAGTGACGGAGGTAAGAGGGGCTGACGTGGAAAAAGTGTCTAGTTGTTCTAGTGTGCCTAAAGACTGTTCATGTTAAAAATCCCTACGGCTAATGCCGTTGTCCTGGCAAAATTTCCCTCATATCACCCTACATGACGTTGCCCGTCTCTATTAGCCCACACGGTACAGGAAGTGGGACGTATAACTCTATTCATTTCATTTCATTATTGCAATATCAAGAAGCAAAAAAAAAATATGACCATCCGGTAAAAATGGAACAACATACATTATTACGACTATGCCTACAAATCAATGACCAAACTTATATCAAGTCTGTATAATTATCCGTAAAAGACATTTTTGCAAGTTAACCTTACTTCAAGAAAGCTAAGCTGGATATGCCACCTACGAAATCAATTTTTACAGAATTCTAATCTTACAGGAAGTCTCTATAGAAATCAGATAACTCCATGCTAGTTTTTCGAAAACTTCATTTACTCGTATATCAAAGCCTATTGAGACAACTTGAAGGATAAGACAACATTTTAAAATAACAATTAAACCGCTCAAATCGCCCACGTAGAATGTTAAAAGTGTTAAGAAACATGCCCCGACGTTCCATGAAGTCAAGTTATATTTTGAATGAAAGAAAAAGTTAATTAGGTACTTATATATTTTATAAAGACATCTATTACATTGATTTTAACAGACTAATTTTACTTTAGAAATCACTGGCTTTCCCTTAGGCTTCGTTTCCATGGTAACGTGTTGAAAATATCTGTGTAAGAATATAGAAGAAAATAAAGAGTTGAAATTAGCCTTGTTAAAAATCTTAAACTACAATATGTTGTACGTATTGATTTTACATGCTAGTACTTATAGTGAAGGAATTTCCATTGGCTTACTTCTGAAATGTTTAGAAATCGTCATCAAAGAATAAAGTAAATACGGCCTGACAATCGTGAAGGTGGTCTTGGTATTCTGTTTTTATTACAAAACGCCCTATGGGAATACATGTTCTGCAAAAATAGATCATTTTTTATGTAGGGCCAAACTATTTCGCAATACATGAAAGTGATGTTTCTGTCAACTGCAACCAATTAATATTGAAAGCTAAATTACTCGTAGGAAGTCGGATATACATTCTGTATCACTTGAGACTTTTCTGCTTAGAAAAGATTAACCCACTTTCCAGTCATCACCTACATGGCATGACATGGAAGACGACAAAATATAGGCTACACATTTCATGAGGAAGTTTTAAGGTTTTTCTTACATGTGACCGATTAATGCTGAAAGACTGAATTACTCTTTCAATAGTTGGATAGACACAGTGTCACTTGAGACAGAAATGATTGCTAGCCACGCAAGCTAACATACACCCACTCACAAAACATCACGTACATGGGATGACATGGATAGCGACATAATATACACATTTCATGAGGAAGTACAAAGATAGCTTGCCATTTAATTCGTAATGGTATACCAGATTTAATAATTTCAATGTTTACGCCAACTTACGATAATGGCTAAATACAAATTTTAATACCAAGTAAAGGGCAATAACCCAATAAATCACTTCAAATCTTATCAATCTAAAATTTACATTAAAACTTTCATCAGAACAAAAACAAATTCGAACTCCATCTATATGCAAAAAAATGCACAAGTTGTATAATTAACTATTTATTACTATTGTTTGGTTGAGCAAAGGACAATAACTCCTCCAAGACATTATCATCTCAGGAACGTTGCCCTGAGACTGAAATTTTGCCTTGTCATTTTAATCTGATATATGCCAATTCGTTAGTTAGTCAAATTCGTAGAGGGTAAGTACTAACGGTAACGCGCAATTGTTAGACTAATGTTTTAGTATGCCTACAGACTCATCTAAACACACTTCCCTCCCAGAAATAGTTCTCATGAAAATAACCCACATTTCAGAATGAAATTCTCTTTCAAATCATAATTATTGTAAACGATATGTTTAATGGTTGACATTTTCATCAATCCTATGATACTCTCAGTAATATTTTTAATCTGACTCAAGAGAGGTAACTACATTTTAGAACGTCTTTCATAACGAACTAATCTCTAGACCACAAATAAATAATACATCGACTAACACTAACGAGTGAATTGTCCAAATGATGCTGTTCTGGTTTACTATCCTTTTCACAATTCAATGATTTAAACAAAAAGTTGGGATAACACTCGACAGTTCACCAAAGACAGTGGCGGCGCCAACCTCGCGAGCATGGAAGTACTCATAGGGGTCAAACTCAATTGGTGGACAACTGTCAAGAGTGAATTCAAAATGCGGCAAAAACCTGTCACCACTGGTAAATTCTAAAAAAGGTTTGGAATCGGAGCAGCTGGTAGAAGAATTTCCGGCGAACCTTAGTTGTTATCCTTGTAATAAAATGGTCATTCTTGTCGTATTCATGGAAAATATGCTAAAAGATTTGGCATGCAGGAAATAAAATGGCCTTTTGTCATTCCAAATACAATATTTTCATAATGCTGAACCATGATCATAAAGCGCAATTAAAGATAAGAACAATGAGGTCATTCAAAGAGATACAAAATTTAGGTCAATTTCATAAGTGTGCTATTACACAAAATGAAGCCTGTAATTCTATTGACGCTTATTCTTGTTTGTGTGTATCAGGTACGTCAATTTCATATCTTTCTTGATGACTGGTATATCAAAGCTTTCCATGGATATACTAGATATTTACTATTATATAATATTTACTATGTATATCGAACGAATATGAAAATTTGCCAATAAGGATGATTTCGAAAGCACAAATTCAACCAATCTTCCTTATCACGAAATAAAATCACCAAAGTGCCAACTACCATTATTCATTATTATGTTTGGAAATTTCAGTTTTTCGATTATTTGTAGGTTTTCGGTGCATCAAAAGTCTGTAAGACATCAGATGATTGTGGTGGTGGAGAATGTTGTGCTATACGACCTCTACATCCAATAATGAGTAGAAGAGCACTCAGCTTACAACTAGAAAAACAGAAAGAAGGTAAGTCATATACGCATTCTATGAGGAATCAGATACTAAACTATGTAAAGATGAAATAAGCGATGGGTGGAAAACGCAAACGGTCTACCGTGAAAATCCCACTAGCGTTCTGCAACAGATTCAGCGTGTGTTTTCATGCGCATAAAACCGAGTTCTATCGTAGTACAGATATATTTCACATTGTACAATGGTCGCATATGCCTATTATGGGCATAAAAAATTAGTCTAGATTCCCAGATCAACGGAATTCCAACTTTCATATATCATTACACGCTGTCACTTGCCGAGTAGTTATTTTTATTTTATGCTCTGCGACTGGGATCTTCAACACTTTCGGCGTTCATTCCATACGTATTCGGTATATTTATTTCATGAGACAAGAATGCATTGTTGTTTATTTACAGGACACTGTTTACAATACCAATCAGTGGGTTCAAGGTGTGAACCTTTAAGTCAAATGAATGGTTATAGTTGTGGATGTGCAAGAGAATTATATTGTAATTTCTACCCAGGTGTAATGGGAAGACGCAAGCGAAAATTATCTTTTGGAAAACATATTTGTGAAGAGCACCCAAAATCTAACTAATGTGTTTATTATATTCGTTATAATAAATATTTAGTCAACTTCCGATTTTACTTTTTGAGGTAGTTTGATGCGAGTCCGTTTTCTTCTGATATTTTCTATTTATTATAAGTTATACTATGGTTCGCTTGAAATTCGAAAATGGAATAATTCTGTATATTCAGACAGGATCTAGAATGGATTTAACACTCTATCTGCTGATTTCAGACACCGTGGCAATATTGCTAAGGCTGAAAATTTTCCAATCCATTCTGACAAAAATTTATCGAAATTAGCCATAAGAAATCACAGAATAAGCCCAATGCCGATAAGGCAACTCCTTATACTGATAACAATTCAGTTGGAGATATCTCTGAATATTTTAGTCATTATTAATTACTGGTGTTTGTAAATCATGAGGCTCTTGGTGATATTGACACTTTCATCTTTACATCTCTGCCAGGTAAAATATTTCACCGTTATACTTCTGTGAACTCAAACGCGACCCAAGGTACGCCATTTTGGGGGTTGATTTGAATTTTGAATATATGTATAATAGTTTTCAGAAGTACTAGAATTTCACGAAAATCGGATAATTCCTTTAAATTCCTATTTCTACAGATGTCTTTTCTATATCTGACAGTGTCTTAAGAATAGACGACTCGTTTTTTTTAAATTTTAAATGCGGATAATTCTGGTCACACGTGGATTTGAAAGCTCAAATTTCGACGGTGAACTGAATACTATTACTGATTGCCTTAGCTTAAAAAAATTCCAGTTTCTGAGACTCGGTATGATATGTCAAAAAAATGGCGCAATTGTAAGGTTTTTCATTTTCATTTTGGAATAAGAGACGTTATACATCCTTCCAAGGAAAACTCAGCGGTTCCTGTAAATGATAGAAATTCAAAAAGCCTGATATAGGTGATATAATTAAAATCATGTGCGATATGTCGCTTACAACTTTTAGAAAGGGAATGTCTCACTTTCGCCAAATTCAAACCACGAAGGTTGTATTCTTTGATGTGGTCATGTTTTTTCAGGTATATGGTGAAAGTAAAATCTGTAAAACATCAGATGAATGTGACGTAGGAGAATGCTGTGCTATACCACCATTGTTTCCCATCATGAGTAAAAGAGCTGAATTACTCCCTCCAAAACAGAAAGATGGTAAGGGCGTCTTTCTGTAATTTCATTGGTAATCAACCAGACACTTTGTAGTTTCATCTTAAACTTTTGAATGGTTTTCCAACTTATTTATACTGAAAGCATCGATATGCACCATTCTCATTTCAGACAGATGTCTGTGGTTTTTGCAATTCCGCGAAAACTAAGCGTCTTTTTCTTAGCTACTGCAAAATTATTTTGGGAAAATTGTGACCATTTTTTTAATCCCTTCATTCTTCCAAGTGTAAATAAATAATTCTCAACGTTCTGTGTCATATACTGTCTTGTCAATTTCAGGGCATTGTAAAAAGTTCTTGGTAGAAGGAGCCTACTGCAATTTTTTCAACAAAGCTAATGCTGTAGACTGTGGCTGTGCTGATGGTTTATATTGTCATTTCTACCCCGATCCAAGAATTGGTAAACGAAAATTGGCTCCTGGTCGACGAGTTTGTGAGAAGGAACTCATTCTAGAAAGTACTCAACCATCCAAATTTTTTAGCTAACCGAATAGGTATTCAAAATTAAAATTCGATGGTTGGTTCTTCTGCAATCAGATTAATAAAAATTGTCTTAAGTTATTATATTATGATTATAGTCTTAAGTTTATTCAATTGCATGCGAACCGTCTAATCTGCATCATACTAAGTTTTAATATTGGTTAAATAATACAACCGTATGTCATGACTGAGATGGCATAATTTTCGACCTAAAAAAACAAGACTAAATCTGTCAAAAGACGGTCAGCTAACCACGGCTTTCTTGATAAGAATCCAATATCGAAATAGATCTAGATTAGCGCGCATTAGATAAGACTGTAGATTATTTACATGATTAATATTATTTGGAAATCATGAAGCTATTGGTGATATTTGTTGTTTCTTCCTTATGTCTTTTTCAAGTAAGTATATTGCTATTTTGTACTACTATTTTGATTTTGAAAACAGATTATTAAGCAATATTTAACGGGACATCTTAGATTTGTTTGTACAAGACGCCGATCTTATTTAAGTTTTTAGGGGTATTAAAATCTTAGTCAAGAATGCCAGCAAAATAAGGACAGATGTTTTTGACGAACATGCATGAAAAAACAGTGTAGTACAAAGTTCAAGATTCGCTAAATTGTTGGAACAATTCTTTGTCTTTGTGTAGTAGCAACTATGTTTTGTGTACATCGTGAGCATTGTTCGAATGGTGCTTACGTGGCTACCTGAAATCAAAACTACGATCTCTGATATTGCGCTCATCGTGGACTGTTTTTTGTCCATGACATCAGATATTGTTTCTTGATGAACAAGATTTAAACGTTTTCAGGTATATGGTGAAAGTAAAATCTGTAAAACATCAGATGAATGTGACGTAGGAGAATGTTGTGCTATACCACCATTGTTTCCTCTTATGAGTAGAAGGGCTGAATTACTCCCTCCAAAACAGAAAGATGGTAAGATTGTTCATTTTTGCCAGCCAAAAGAGTTTACGTCAAATGCTAGCTTCAGTAAAGATGTAACACTGAAGGTATATATTTGTATCGGGTAATTTTAGCTGGAAAAGCAAAGTGTGGATGTATGACAAAATTACGCTGACATAATATTTTCTAGCATTTAAAGTCTCCTCTTTTGGAACACCATAAATCTGATATTGTTATTTGTTTGGTTTAGTTACCATCATCAACATTAATTCAACTTCCAGGACACTGTAGAAAGTTCTTGGTGGAAGGCGAATACTGTAATTTTATCAACAAAGCCAATGCTAGAGACTGTGGATGTGCTGATGGTTTATATTGTCACTTCTACCCTGATCCAAGAATTGGTAAACGAAAATTGGCTCCTGGTCGACGAGCTTGTGAAAAGGGACCAAAACCTCAATAAATTGAAAAAATAAATGTTCCTTCTTTGTTATTTTCTGTCCCAAATTAGGATATTTAAGAAGACTTACGAAGTCCTCACTCGCTCATCAATGACTTTTATATCTGCATAAAGCGGTGAATAGTAACCAAAACGGCATTATACTAGAGGAGTTTCCCATATTTACGAATGTCTTGCTTTTGTTCAAATTTACAAAACAAACCTTAAAATGACTGCGTGTTGATTGATAGGTTTGAAAATCGGGTAATATGATTATTTGTTATCTCGGTCCCTAATACAAGATTAACCTGCAACAGTTGACAATGTAAATAAATACGTAGTAGTCGAAGAGTTCCTGACTGGGAATGGGGTGAATAAGTCCTGCATTGAGGTGAATAAGTCCTTCATGGCGTTAATAAGTCCTGCATGAGGTGAATATGTCCTGCATGAGGTCATAAACTACAATAAACCTATTTATAATTCTTTCTGATGAATATAAATTAACATGTTCTTTTTTAAATAATATACATTAAAAATCTTGATATCTTTTTATTTAGACAGATTTTAAAATATACAAAAACCAAATATGAAATCATAAATTAATGGATAATAAATGGATTTGTTGTAAAAATTGGGCATGGAAACATAAGACAAGCATATTATTCTGACCATTACTAAATATATATATTGTATTCACATACTGCATTGGGACTCTCTCGTTAAAAATTGAAAAAATTTATTGCAACTACGAAGATGTAAACTCTAAGAACATCAAATTAATCAAAGGTTAATACATGTATATCATTTCCTTTACAAATTGAATAAAATTGGAAAATGTCGTGATGATGGTTATTTTCTAGGCAACTGCATTGTATACACCATATATCTATATAAGCTTTTAAGTTTGAGTATTTCTTCTCAACTGGCAGTAATATTATAAAGAAGATCTTGTAATCACTAAGTCCGTATGAATATACAATTTGTTAACAGGGATGAACTTAGATAAAGCTTATGGTTTCTTAATAAGCTAAATATTGTCAATGGAAACCGCATTCTGAACTTATTTATCTTCAAGATACACTTTTGTTGCAGATTTTAATGTTTTCAGGTCTTTCTCCATGTAATTATTGTTAATACTTCTGGGAGAAATTCTCTTTGAAGCTGTAAAGAAAACAGTTTAAGAAATCTTAATTGGGCCGTCATGCAGTATGAAATAAAGATGAATTTGCCAATAAATAACGGGGATCGGTTTATTGTCACAACTGACAGCAAGACACCTCTTCCATGTCGACCCCCTCTGATCTGCATCAGTGACGGATGACCCAATTGCAATCCCAAAGGTTACTCTGGATGTGATCAGTGTACATGTAGTATTTGTTGTGTAGATCTGATCTAACTTGCGACTAACATACTCTTCAGCGACTGATTGTAACTGTCTGCATCCAATAGAACTGATCAATCGGTGGATTTGAAGGACCATAGCGTCAACAACTGATAGAGTGCAGTTGCCAACAGTTGAACATGTTTTACTCTGCTGTGGTCAATCAGAGCGGTCGGAGTATGCGACCAGCCAGTAAATTGCAGTTTCTAGCAGTTGGACAATTTTTCGACTGGGGCAATTCCGATGCAGATTTGCCAGTTGACCAGAGATCAACTTAACTCTTGCTCTGTTATCAACTGTATACTTGCACAGAATACAGTTCTGTTCAACTTACCTTGTTTTTGTAAATCCTTGATGATTTCTTGTGGAGTGAAACCATAATTAACAGCAATACCAATATCTCTTAATAATCTTTTCTCAATAGCATGTAATACTGGAAAACAAAATATGGTATAAACTTGATTAGTACTTGAACAACATAATTACTAAACGGTCGATACACTACATCTTTAAAAAGATCTTAATGATCAACTGAAGGTCTGTCAAACCCTCTACCGTATGCTTAATAGTATTCAATGAATATGAATATGAACTAAGAAAAACTTACCATCTATTCGTAAATCTGTATTATCTTGTGAAACAGTGGTAGTAGTGGTAGGTAGTGTAGTTGCTGAAAAATTCAAAATTAGCCAATATATAAGTAACTTTCAATGGCGGTACAAGTAGAGGTACAGAGTTGAAAAATGGATTGTACTCATAACTGTATCCATACTAGATTCCTCACAAATTAAATGATATCATGAAGTTTGTGCCTATGCCGCATTTGAAATTCAACCTCGATAGTGTTGTCAACATTAAGTCAGCCTGTAGTCTAACTGTACCCCCAGTCTCTTGGGGTTAGCTCCACCACTAAGTTACTAGCACACCAAAGCTTGAATGAAGGGGTAGGAGCTGTGCTCAACAAATTGGTGATCTAAATAGTACAAACGTACAATCAAAATGCTTCGAAGATGTCAATATTTCTACAACTACACATTGGATTGAGCATCGAATAGCTTCTTAATGTCTTATGATGAACACCGTATATTAAACCACAAATTTAGGGATTCATGCCCATTTTGCCACCCACCACATGTGTTGTGTACTTACGTTGATATTCGTGTTTTTTAAGTGACTTTTCTCTCTCCTTGTTATACAGTTTCCTTAACACATCTAAGATTTTATCTGAACCCATTGGTTGATCTTCATGTTGCCCATTGTTATTTTGTCCCAAATAATCTACAAACATATTTCAGATATTCAATATAATCATGAATAATGCACATATATATTTCAAGTACATAAGATATGTTTTCCAGGTTGAAGCAAATTCTACATTATTACAGAGGCTACGAAGGAAGCTCTTCATTATTGAGGTATAAAAGAACCGACATACAGTTCTTGAATGTTTCCATGTGTGTATATCGTAAATCGAGTAAGGCAAATACAACAGGTTGCTTACCACCAACACCATCCCCATTTCTATCATCTTCATTCTCGTGTTCTCGTCTTAATTTTTTCAATGCATTAGCTAAAAGCTGAAAAGAGAATTCAATCGTTTCCATGTTTGAACAGTGAGAGATTTGACCATACGCTACATTGGACGGCGAGAGGTCCTTTTCTGTGAAGAGACACCCGTTAAATATCTCGTCTGATTTCCTTTTTTTGATACAGATTTTTTAGTTTGTCAAATGGACTGATGAATGTCGACTGTGCACAGACGTCAATGATAATGATGTGTTGACTAAAAAGAAAGGCGGAACTAGGACGTTCAGATGACTCATTGAATCTCTGACCATCAAGTACGCCTCTCGGTTTTTTTTATTTGTGAAAACGGTCTCAGGCCGCAAAGCATTTATCATATAATGGATAGGAATACTGCATAAGTGGTGACAACGACCTCCTCATCGGTTAAAAATGGATGCTTACCAGTACACCAGCTTTATCACCATGTTTTAAATCATCAACTATTTTATTAAATATATCATCTACGGACTCGTGATTTGTTGTTGTTGGTAAAGTTGTCTGTTCGTCTTTATCATTAACATCTCGTAACTGTTCAAATAAAAAAAACATTGGAAATCATGATCTTGTCCGAATAATCAAATCTAAGCTCAAGTACAAGATTTTATGGTGGGTGTTCCTTGGTGCTCATCCACTTTGGAACTTATTTTGTGAAGTAAGCTTCGACTCGGAATTCTTTTCCTCGATTCCATAATATTACTGTTAAAATGTTTATTTGGTGTAGTATATATTGTATACCAAACGGACAGAAGCGTTTAACATGTTGGACACATGGCGTTTGGCAGATGCGTTTAAGGTTTTGAAACCACCTTAGAGGAACATACACAATAAGCATAATATGATTACTTACAATTTGGCGTAATTTCTGAAGCTGAAATGGAAAGAGACAGTTTATATACGATGTTCTCGTAAGGAATTAGGATGGACATTTTATTGAACGGATTACTCATTTTATGTACCAACAATGGTAAATGCTACGAATCCAATCAGGTTGTGGTAAAAAAATGCTCTGGTTCATTGAATTCCAACCTAGGGTACTGATCCCAGCAGTATCAATGAACATCACAAGGGGAACCCGCGAGACCTCTAAGACAATATGCCACAAGTAATGTGATTCAGTAATGTGTGTTGACTGTCAAAAAGGGGCTCTATAAGATGTAAGGTACTATGTATTTATCTTCAGACTTCAGTTTCTAATTCCGAAACACTTGGTAGTATATCCACTAGTACTGCAAGGATACAAATTAAACCGTTCTGGTGACCAACCCATAATCTTGCTTTGCCAATGCTAGGAGTTCATTATATAAAATTGTTATAATGTTAGTCTTGATTGTCATCGAATTTTGTAGACAAAGATTTTGGAAAATGACCTCTTACCTGTTCCTTCAGTGATTCTGCCTACAAGAGAACAAAAGGGAACATTATCCTTTATACAAAATCTAACTAGCCAATCATAAACAATATATAGCATTCACACATTGAATAATGCATAGGGATTATATCGAAGTATTCCCTATGAAAAAATTATATAGTGAACGTTTAATGTCAGGTCTGGAAAATGAAGGTCATTCCAGTTTGGTTACAGGAAAAATGTAGTTCGCTGTGAGTACATCGCCATACACTTTGCCTTTGATGCAAGATAGGTTGTCCAATAATTCATGTCAGAGCTTTACTAATTCCTGCATCTATTTGACTCTTTCGCGTATATCTCAGGTGAAAGATGAAATGATATTTACCTCTCTAGTATGTCTTGATATTTTATTGGCTGAAAAAAACAGAAAAAGAAAATAAAAATCAACTTCTTCAGAGAGTAATAGCTTTGGGAACTGATTTGTCTCCATTTTGTACAAGAAAATAATTTTTCATGTTAAACCAAATCGTACTCTTGCCAAAAAGCTCGACAAATGATATTACTTAGCTACCTATACAAGGTGACTTTACAATGAAACATTTAGAATTCAGCTGATAAGTTTTGGTTCTTTTGGGCAATTACGTGATGACGTCAAAGTTCAATGTATTAAAACTTACGAGAACAGAATTTATTACATAGTATCATGAGCACACTTTACATGTATTGCATAAATAATATGATAAACGTTATCATGAATTAACATTTCGTTAAATGATAAATTAGGTGATAACAAAGTAATAAATACTATATCTTCATTAATGATAATTAACCATAATTTAATAACATAGTATGTGAAATATTGAGGTCAGATGTCGATATAATAATCATCTTAGCTTTAAAGGAGTGGTAAGGAATATTTTCGACCAGTTTGTAAACAAAAAGGTTACCTATTGCGCAATCCTTATTCTAGTATTTTTTACAACTGGTGATACATCCTCACAATGTCAACATTACGTCTTATACCTTAACTGCAATAGCCACTTTCGTGTACCATGGAATGTAGCATTTTAGTTGGATTGTACGCTAGTGAATACAGCCAATCCTTCCTCTAAAGGCATACTGTAAAATGGCGTTTTGGTTACATACCATGGTCGCATTTGCTAACGTACAATGCAATCAATTAGCTGCATTTACAGACTCCCGTGGTACAAGGAAGGTGGCAATTGTAGTCAAGGTATTAGATGTAGTTTGTAATAGCATGACTTCAATGTAAAACAGGTGTTTGTATTTACAAAACAGTTTTTAAAACCTTGTCGCCTTGTCTTCCACCCTGCGTCCCAGTAACAAATATTACTTCACGTTCCCTTTATTATCGTCTGGCTTAAGTGTATAGGGTCAGATTTTGTCAAGTGGCCAAATAAATAATCATATTACTTTATAATCCTTCAGACCACAGATTGATATCTAGACTATAATTCTGTTAAAATAATTGTTTGGTGGTATTACATTCCCCTTGATGGGCGGTTAAAACAGTATTGTCGATTGTGGACATTGCTGCTCTAATTCCAGAATCCGGGAATGATTCATATTTAAAGAACAATTTTTCAGAAATTTTAATACTTTATAGGAAAAGTTTGGAAAAAAAAGTAAGGCGACATGAAACACTAGTCCAATATCAATATTTTTAGGGCAAAAAATGTTAAAATAATAATATACAACACCAAAAGAATTGGGGTTTTTATCAATTGCTGAAACAAGATATTGTGAAACACATGTTTTTATGTGAATTTTGTATCTGTCAATTTATTGCCAAGACCTATTAATTAGAACTTTAGCTTAATTATGACCACTTCCAAAATTCTAGAATCGAGTTGTGATTCCTAATCAGACGAAGCAGTACCTAATTATGGTCTTTATTTCGTTATTTATTTATCTTATGATTCTGGGCGTAATCTTTGATGTCTGTGATTAAGGTTTAGCCAACTAAATTGGTGAAAAATAAATGGGTCACACTAAGAATACAAAAAGAATCCACATGAAAATAATATTTATATTTCGCTTAAAGTACCCTCCAGACCTCAAGAATAACAAAATGAAATCAAAGTCCCCCCTCTCATGGCGAGTAACAATCGTGAGCGAAATTTCTAAAACACATCAAAATTAACAAAAAATATAGTAATATTATGTATGTCACAGCGTGTTTAACTATTCGACTGTAACGTTAGATAAAAATTCAAATAACTAAATAAAACTTAAAAACTTTTCTTACCTTTGTGAAGAGGTACACTACTCACAAACGTTGATAAAGTTATGAGAAAAAGTCCACCAATATGTATGTCACAAAACTTCATCTTGGTTATTCAAAGTGACTTGACGTTATAACCACATGTATACATGACATCAATATTCAATATGAATAAATACATGTGATAACCCGATAAATACCTTGATATATTGACCCCACCTTTCTTATATCTTATCACCGGAAATGACGTAGGGATTTCCCACCTTTTGAAATGTTTTATAAAGGTATATTGACCTAACTATAGGATATAACGAAATAGGGCCCCATTGTGTAAATAGACATGTCTGATAATATTAACTAGAGAGCAGTCAATTGAACATAGTTATTCATATTCTAAATATCTTATGACTTATAATCTATACAGTAGTTTTACATAGAGACAGTTTTATCATTTATCAAAACAATTAAATGGCTGAAGGTTACTGTCTTCTATTGCTAGCTTCTCAAGAAAATTTCCAGTGTGAAATTTTATGGGTATTGTGTTAATATCGCCATTATAATACTAAATTTATAATTCTTATAGAATATTGGAGACTGTTAGTATATGAGAGAAGTTCAAGATTATCAACACAATAGGTTTTCAATATGTATCCCCCTTGATATCAATACATTTATTTAAACAATGCTCGAGCAATGCTCACAAAACATGGATTTTTAACCACTGTAAGCAACTGTTAACTGTAAATTATAAACATTTTCTATATACAAGTATTCCATCTTAAAGACGATCGGTTTATCGCAATGATCAGCCAATTCTTGCTAGGAGCGCTTCTCTCACATTTACAGCTACGAAACCGGTGAGGTTGTTTGGTAGTCAATTGACCTGAAGTCATAGAAGAAGCTGTGCTGTGCATGCAACGTATACAAATCGCGTTCCAATACATAAATAAAATACCATAGTTTTATATCTAGAATTTTGGAAAATCTGGAAATGCCAGATAACTTAACCAAGGGTGCCACTGAAGCCGCTCTTAACGCTTTTATAAAAAAAAAATAACCAGTAAGGTGGCTATACAGACATCTCTGTCGACAGTGCCAACAGCTCAATATTTTGGGGGTTTGGGATGAATGTTACCTCTATCTCCCCTCTTCCTGTAAAACTTTCATTTGAATTTTCATTTCGCTCTAGGCAGTGGGGAGAGATAGAAAAAAACAACCTTGCGGTACTGAGTCTGAAAATTTTGGAACCAAGGTGATCTTAAAGAGTAAGGAAGTCGATAATAGTTTGGGTTTTGGAAACTGGGATATCTTGATATAATATTTATCAGGTGTGGAGGACGATGAGATCACATTCCTTTAAAGGGCTAATAATTCAATTTATGTAGTCTTATCTGTAATACTGTGACTTAAACGGATCTTTATGTCCTGGTTTATTTGAAATGCACGTACTGTTGGGGAAATTTATGTGGTCGAAAATCGAAATACTTGGACAAACCCTGGCTGTAAACGATAAAAAGAAGACTAAACTTTGGTACAGCAATAATTATTCTGTATACTGCCTTGCCTTTAATGTACATAATAATGAATGGAGGTATCTAAAATGAGATATTATACATGTATGAAAGCCTAGGACGATCAAATTGATCGCAGCAAGGACCAAATATGTGATGTTACAAAGGTTATTCGATTAAAGTGTTAGAAATCATGAATGCAAATCAAATCTTTTGTTACTAGCCTATGATTTAATAGTGGACGAACATCAAGCTGAGTTTCAACTTGCAGTCCACCATCTTCACAATCTGAAGCTATTAGTATTACACACTGCGTCTTACACGTTGACTGTGATAGTCATCTTTCTTGTATAAAGGAATGCAGCGATTTCATTGGATTGTAAGCCAGCGAATACAACCAATCATAGCCCAGCCCTAGAAAGACGGGCTGTAAACAGTATAGCTTAGTCAAGGATTCTAATTTGCTGTATTCACAATCCAACCAAATCGCTGCTTTTTCACAGTTCCGTAATACAAGAAAGGTCTCTATTGCAGTCAAGGTATAAGATGCAGTCATGAATAGCTTGATGTGAAGATGGCATCCACTTGCAAGGTAATGTAATAATACGTTCACTGGGTATAGTCGGTAAAGGGGAAGCTACTAGTATTGAACAGTAAACCAAGTTTATTTTAAAGATTCTAATCGTCAAGTTTAAAATCTTAAAAACCACCACCGACAACAATTACTGCCAAGAAGAGCACAAAATCCATTAATTATAACATTTTATACATAACATAAAAACCATATACGTATTTTAAACCTTTATATAGATGTTTATAATCATGAGTAATAAATAAAAACTTCATCAACAAGTGACTACTCGTCACCCCAAACAGCCATAAAGTTTACGTCTTTGTGGACACGCCTGCGTGTTTTATGAACAAATCAAGACATTCATTTGAAAAACGGTCAACAAATTAACAACACATTATTAATCACTAGAAAGAAACTCACAAAATTCACTCATTAATTGTCTTGGGCAACGTATATCGAGGTTTAAACGTGATTTACATTTTTAAGATCATATTGATTACCCTCAAAACGTTCTTGTAGAGCAAAGACTCCAAAGTATTGCAACAAAATAACCAGGATGTTCCTTATATGATTTAATGTTTTCACAGAATAGCACAATCTGTTGCACAACGTTTTCTATATTGAGGAAATTGGCGTTTTGGGACGCAGGTCATTGAGTGTCCTTCTGCTTGACAGTATCTGATACATGGCCATTCAATTTCTCCCATCCCAACATAATCACATTTTAAAAGAGGCTCGGTGCCAAATCCGAACGGTGACATAGCACCCATACCACCCATACCTCCCATACCACCCATTCCCCCCATATTCATAAGTGTGAATGGATCCACATTGTTGAAGTCAACTGGACGAGAGTGGAGTGGATGAGCAGAACCAGGTGGACCAGCATAAGGTGCAGTACCTAATGGTGCTGTTCCAGGAAATCCACCAGTACTACCGGACCCAAACAGTGAATCCAATAACTGAACCTCTGACATTGGTGGACCATTAGGTGGAAATCGTTGTTGTTGGTTTGCTGGTACTGTATAAGGATTAGATTGTGGTGGCGCAGGGGTGTTGTTAACTGTCAGATTCTTTAAACGTTGTAGCTCTTGACGAAGTTCGCTGATTTGAGCTTGTTGAGCTTGAAGTTGAGGATGTGGAGTAGTTGTATAATTGGCTTGTGCGTTTGTTGCCTGAGCATCCTGCAGTAGCTTCTGGTCCCTTTCATCATTAAACTTTGTCAAAGCAGAATCTATTACGAGCCTATAAGCTTCAAGCTTTTCGTTAAATCCAACCGGTGGAACTTGTTTGGACATGACAACATTGGCTAGTTTTAACTTTTCTAAGATATCTGTTCTTTGTGTATCGCTAATGGTGTCGATAGTCAGAGGTGGAAGGGAAGCAATGGAAACAAGATTTGTAGCTGGATTGGATGCCTGTGGTGGCGGAGGAGGTGGTTGCTGAACCTGGGGTGGTTGTGGCTTAGGCTGCGCTTCTGCTGGCTTGGGTGCAGGTATTGAAGCAGCTTGTGAGGCAGGTTGGCTCATCATCTTAGAAAACTGCTCCATGAAGTTCCCCATAGGATTGCCAGCAAGTGTGTTTGTATTGCCCATATCTGGAAAACCCGTGGGACTACCACCAAAACCAGTTCCCATCATATTCATAAGTGATTCCAAACCAGCTGAGGACATTCCAGTGGGAACATCGAAACCTAATAGATCAGATGCGGCAGATGCACTTGCCTCATTTGGTGGCATTCCCTGTGCTGGTAATCCAGGGTAACCACCGGGAAATGATGGCATCTGGCCCATTCCTCCTGCAAATGCATTACCGCCACCATAGGGGTTAGTTCCAGCAAATTGCGATGGAAATTGTTGTGGTGGTGGATACCCCATTCCTGTCGGTGGCATACTAGGAATACCCATTCCTGCAACTCCCATGGCAGGTTGTGGTGGCTGTACTGGATACGCCAATGGTTGTGGAGGACCGGGCTGTCCAGAAATAGGTTGTGGAACAAATCTAGGAAATGAGGGACTTGCTGGTTGATTTAATGGTGCCTTATTTTGAAGAAGTACGTTTGTCAAGAATTTCTCAGCATCTGCGACCGGAGAAGGGGTTGTTGTTGGTCCAAATAATTTTACGTGTTTTAACATTTCCATTAGCGCAGCAGGTGATTGTGGATCCCCTTGAAGCTTCTTTGTAACAGATAAGAAAGCTTGAACAAATGTTTTAAAGTTCTTAGGTGGTTCTGCCGGTGCGGGAGTGGTTGCTTGCTGGGTGTTTGCTGACGTTTGTATTACAGCTAAAGGTGGTGGAGTTGTCTGTGCTTGAGTACTTGGGAAAGCATCAGTATGGAAGTCTTTCAATTTTGCCATTTGAGCTTTGAGTTTAGCCAAGGTTTCTAGTTGCGATTTCTGGGTGTTAAGGAGGTCTTGAATCTGTTGAAGGAAACAAAATATTTATAAGAATTTATACAGAGCATCCATAATGCCAACATGCAAGACCGTGACAATTTCCCTCAAGGTCTCTGATATAGATCATTATTGATGGCTTCATCATGTCGTCATGGAGCCAAATAGCCCGAGAATTCTTAAAGACGCCTTTGTCAGTTATATGAATCATGCTGAAGATTATTTATATTGATGTCAATACGAAGAAAGAAAGAAATTTATTGGACATAGGCGCCTTCCTTTTCAATGCCATATTGAATAATAAGACGACAAAACGTGAAATGTGAAATGAGAAACGGAAATGAAATGAATGGAGTTTTACGTCCTACTATTCTGTACACTTGGCTTATGAAGACCGGCGACGCCATGTAATGTGCAATGAGAGACATTTTGCCAGGAATGCTCATTTTTAATTTCCAACTGTCGGGGGGTCAGAGAAATAAAGCTTACATTTGAAGATACGGGAGCAGATCCTCCAACACTACCAGGTGGAACAGTAGTAGTTGTATCTTCTGGAGGGGCATTAGTAGTAGTCATAGCTGCTGCGGTAAGTGCTGCCTGAGATGGATTAATACGAATATCAGCACAATTAACATATCGTTCTTGTATACCACAACCAAAACAGCAGTTGTTCTGTTTATCACAACCATAGACTACCGCTAAAATATAAAAAATATATGAAAATATTAGGATATTTCTATCAATTTTACAGCTCAAAGATCATAAGGTACAACATTACGGTAAGTGGTTTGTGTAACCTTAACACAATACGATATGGATTGGTCGAATCTTTGCTGTATGGGTGAGCATAATAATAATTGAATATTCATAGCAGAAATGCTCTCGCCTTCTGTTTTTTTCAATAGATATTTTAGTAAATGTTGACGTATGATTGGCCTTGCCCTTCATAAGTAAACTTTGTTTAAGATTTTCTTTACTTTTTCAAGACGAAAAAGACAGAATTGATAATAATATAATAACTGGAATGACGAGATTAGTTTTAACAAAATATTGCAAGCTCACGTTGATTCCTTTTGTATTTTTTAATGTCCATATTTGCCTTTTCCCTCCAAAACAGGTCAATATAATTTCAGAACTCAAAGAATTTCTTCTGAATCTTATTTTATCGGAAAATTTAGACCAAGTAGTGATATCCTCCATAATGAGGGGACTCTTTTTTGAAACATGGTATTGTAAGATTTACGCCTCACATATTTGGATATATCAAAATAGTCAAAGTTAGTTCGTGTTTTCTAGACACTGAGTAAATCGTGAAAATTTGATTTAAACAAAAATTACTGACACCTAAAGACTACTAAAAGATGTTTTATGACTGGACTTCCGGCAAAATATAGTCATGACATAGTCATTGTAAAAATATATTCTATTGATTGTGTTTAAACAACCCCTATCCTTAACCTTATATACCATAGCAATAAACCTATAGTAACCTTTTACCCCCCAAAAAATAACCCTCTACCCACATATAGTAACCATTTACTAAAGATAGTTACCATCGGCCAAAGATCGTAACTTTTTACCCTCCAAAGGAAGTCATCATTATCAAAAGGTTGTAAAATGATACCGAAAGATAGTAAGTCTATACCAAATGAAATGAACGGAGTTTTACGTCCTACGTTAAGTCTATAACAAAGAAATTAACTCTAAGAGTGTACCCAAAAAGTAACCCTGTCATCGAAGAAATAGAAACCTCACAAAGATAGTTACCCCTATGTACCCTTTACCCAATTATAGTTACACCATAACTAAAGATTGTAACCCCATAACCAAAAATAGTAACCACAGTTGACAACCCCCATAAGGTAGTTACCCAATACCAAAAAAGACAGTAACAAGGACTTCGTTTAAGAGCATAATCTGGGTGTCTCTTTAATTACGTTAACAATAACAGTGGCGGAGCCAAAGTGAGTGGGCCCTCGCTACCCCGAAAGCAGGTTTTTCGGGCAACAATATCATAACTAGGTAAGACATTCGGGCAATCTCGGGTATTTCGCCCCCTCCCTCGGACGCAAACCTGAACAATAGTCATTCCAGAGTCTATCCGATCCGATACCCTTATTCAATGTACAGAGATTGTCCCGTCATTATGGTTCCATGGTAAAATACAACATACGGATGCACCTACCATTACCGTTCATAAATAGATATCTAAATATAGCTGATCCGGTGACAACGCGTCTCAGATTTGCTTTTCAAGGTTGCCTGAACTATTATAGGCCCAATACTTACAAGTTGTGTATGTCCATTGTAAAACACAGCGTTCACAGTTCAAATCAGTTGGTAAAACTATATCAAATGTTACATTTTTATTTCTTGGTGATGAGGCAATTTTTAGTTTGGTTGCACCATCTGCTGTCGCCAATGTAGTACGATTGAGGCATTCTTGAGTGGCTTCTTGCATCTTCGACTCTAATTTACATATTCGAAATTGGAAATTTCCAGGCCGGCCCAAAACGAATTGAACAGTAAAAGGAACCGTTTCTCCTTGAGTGTAGTTTTTACCAATAAATCCTGTACCGTATTTTCCTCCGTATTCATTCTCCTTCTGAGCACTAAAATTATCACCGCATATCCCACATCGACCTTGGTTATTCTGTAGAGTCTAAAATCATAGAAATTTTCAAATTTAATGCATTAAGTATCAAAGACCAAGTTAAGAATTGGAACAAACCATTCTTTACGGTTGTGATCTCCACAATGCTCATTGCGCTTTCTGAACACCGTCAACAATGTTAAGTCAAAGATACCTGGTGATACGAGACAAGCGCATTCAAGTCCGTGAAAATAAGTGCTTTCAAATTTATATTCATTGTATCCATTTAAGAAAAAAATGACCGGCAAGGGGGCCGGGGGGTGACTGGGGGAAATCCCTTTCCGACTGACCAACACACGAATTCACAACGTCACAGTGAACATGTTCGTAATGTTTGCATCACAAAAATGAAAAAAATTAAAGAATATTGAAGAATTATATTTGAACACTTACCACAATGCCTCCACAATTTAAATAGCCATCTTGTTTGTTGACTGGTACATCGAATCCGTATCGCCACATAGAAGATCTGTTCGGAGGGTCAATTAATTTAGCATTCCCATTTACACCATTAATAAATCCAAACAGATATATCATAAACAGTATAAGTATCCGGCGTGGCCTCGCCATAACTCCAGTAAAGGTTGGAAAGAATTTGAAAAAGACTGAAGTGAATTTAGTTTAAGAGAAGACGACTTAAAATATTTTACTTCTTTGTGAGCCGAGGTAGAGTTTTTCGTTACGTCAATGACACAAAACGTTACTTTACAATGTCAAAAATATTCATACATGTCATCCAATAATTTATGTATTTTCGTCTCAAAACTGAAAGGTTCAACAACAATCCTGACGAGCCGTAGAATTTTATGAGACATTAACATATATTATCGTCATAGAAAATTATTACAGTAGCTCTTTACTAGCATCTGTGTTCTACATTTTAACTGACCAAGATTTAGAATCTGTATTTATATCTAAATCGTCCCTTGTTATAGTTTAAGTCGACATGATATGCGTCACAGTTAACGAGATACATCATTGTTCTTTCTTTCTACGACAGCAAAATTGTTGAAGGTTTTTCGAGTGAATGGGTACGTATATAAATAAAAGCGAGCCAAAAGTTCAAATTAACTTGGATTGACGATGATTGAAATATATTTTGAACTGAGTATCACCCATGATATTATTTTAACATTGTGAATCTGTTCGTGATCTGTCTTAAATCGCTTTTCTACAAAATTCTGATTCTAAATTTAATTCTAAAAAAATATGAATGAGGTATCAATTGACCTGTAATAACTATCAATGAATGAGGCATCTATTGACCAGTAAATAACTATTACTGAATGAGGCATCTATTGACCAGTAATAACTATCAATGAATGAGGCATCAATTGATCAGTAATAACTATTACTGAATGAGGTATCAATTGACCAGTAATAACTATCAATGAATGAGGCATCTATTGACCAGTAAATAACTATCAATGATTAAGGCACCAGTTGACCAATAAATAACTATCAATGAATAAGGCATCTATTGACCAGTAAATAACTATCAATGAATAAGGCATCTATTGACCAGTAAATAACTTTCAATGATTAAGGCATTTATTGACCATTAAATAACTATCAATGAATGAGGCATCTATTGACCAGTAAAAACTATCAATGAATAAGGCATCTATCGACCAGTAAATAACTATCAATGAATAAGGCATCTATTGACCAGTAAATAACTTTCAATGATTAAGGCATCTATTGACCAGTAAATAGCTATCAATGAATGAGGCATCTATTGACCAGTAAATAACTATCAATGAATAAGGCATCTATTGACCAGTAAATAACTATCAATGAATCAGGCATCTATTGACCAGTAAATAACTATCAATGAATCAGGCATCTATTGACCAGTAAATAACTGTCAATGAATCAGGCATCTATTGACCAGTAAATAACTATCAATGAATGAGGCACCAATTGACCAGTAAATAACTATCAATGATTAAGGCATCAATTGACCAGTAAATAACTATCAATGAATGAGGCATCATTTGGCCAGTAAATAACTATAAATGAATAAGGCATCTATTGACCAGTAAATAACTATCAATGAATGAGGCATCAATTGACCAGTAAATAATTATTAATGAATGAGGCATCAATCGACCAGTAAATAACTATCAATGATTAAGGCATCAATCGACCAGTAAATAACTATCAATGATTAAGGCATCATTTGACCAGTAAATAACTATAAATGAATAAGGCATCTATTGACCATTAAATAACTATCAATGAATGAGGCATCAATTGACCAGTAAATAACTATCAATGATTAAGGCATATATTTACCGCTAAAACTTTTAATGAACAATTGTTGTGGCCTTATACCTTAGGTAGTTTGTGAGTCAAAATAACCTTTTTGCGATCCAATCTAATTATCTTATAATTAGTCAAAATTAATCACCACGATCTGCGAATAAATATTTTTTTTTATGGGAAGTTTTTCCAAACCTAGTAATATAGGGCAACGCTCGTCGGTCTCTTAAAACCTTGAAAAACTGTGGAATTTTTATTTTAGAAATATATGGAAATTAGACTTTTATACCATTGTATCTTTTTTTTACAAAATCGTGATTTATATATTATTATTATTATCATATTATTTTAGACGTCATTGGCATGATCTAGAGTCTACAACCGAAACATTCCGATCGAATTTTTAGGAATTGCGAATCATTAATTTCAATTCCAATAGTTACGTTTTATATACGTTATATTTCAAGGGAGATAATTCTTTCCAATTTTATTTGACCACTGAGGTTACTTATAAAAAAGTTTTAATCAAATCGGGTTATCATTTACCAATCTGAAATGAGCTTTTGGAGTACTGCAGGCATAAATCGAAGCATTGCACGGAGTGTTTCTCATACAACAGAGGACCCTTCCATCAGCTCTATATCACTGTGTGTGCCAATCGGGTTATCATTTACCAATCTGAAATGAGCTTTTGGAGTACTGTAGGCATAAATCGAAGCATTGCACGGAGTATTTCTCATACAACAGAGGACCCTTCCATCAGCTCTATATCACTGTGTGTGCCAATCGGGTTATCATTTACCAATCTGAAATGAGCTTTTGGAGTACTGTAGGCATAATTCGAAGCATTGCACGGAGTATTTCTCAATAGAATACAATAGAGGACCCTTTCATCAGCTCTATATCACTGTGTGTGCCCCCGCCAGCTTTGTCAGGTACAGCCTGTCTAAAATAGTTCCCTCCTTCTCCACTGCACTTTGTCTCATCTTCCTCTCGCGCTTCTTCACTCTTTTTCCTTCCTTTCTTTAACACTGTCCCTGCATTCTCTTCTTCCTTCCTCTCTACTTCACTCGGTCTGTTGACTCTATTTCCTTACGGAAATTGTTCTTCTACCGTGTTCCTTTCTTTCGAAGTCAAGCTTCAATTTGTGATAGATAATATTTCTTGAACATTATAGAAGCAATAGATGGTAGACTATGTACCTGTTGGAAAAGGGTAAAATTTTGAATTATTTTAAACAATCGAATTTTCCACAGTAGTGAAACGCAATTGTTAAAAAACAAGAGAACTATTAATTCTAAGTATTTTTGGTCAAAAATCAACAGTTCATGTAAAATTATCCTTTAAGGCTCTCACCCCCTAATAGGCCTAACCCACACCGTACAGACAATAAGACAACGTAGCAAAGTAGCCTCAGCACTCACTTTCTGATCATAAATTAGGCTAACAGAACCAATCAATTCAACAACGACAGTATAATAATGCAAATATACATGTAGCATAGGAAATTGGCCTTGAAAAGATTGCATAAATGTTAGCATTTAAGGTCTGAACGTACGACTCACTCACAGGTAGCCTACAGCATGCTACAAACTAACGATAATACGAGATGGAGATTGGGAAATACGAATGTATAAGTAGGCTAGGTAATATGATGATAGCGGATAAGCATAGTCTTAGTTAGGCTACGAAAAAAAAAGTTTTCAAATCTGATGCTTTGCATTTCATAGCCTACTCATATTGATTCGTGGTTTTTGGATTTTTTACAAGTTTTTGTAGTAAGGCAATGTATTTTCAAAGCTTTAACGATAAAGGAATTTATGTGACTTGATAAATGTAACTGTAATAGGTAGGCCTATTCAATTTTCATAAAATGTTCAATTGTGGTATAATATGGTGGTATTTGAGCAATTAGGTTAACCCAACCGGAAGCTACCTGTCAATTTTAAGCGCATGCTCAGCGACGTGGATTGAAAAATGACAACAAACTGAACTTACTAAATCTTTATTTCAAGAAAACAGATGATATTATGATTTGAAGGCATTTATATTATATCAGCTTAAATCACAAGTAGGTTTGTTATTTGGACACAATATTAGGAAAGCCTTTGGAGAGACGCCAAAAGACGTCATTGTAGGATGAAAAAAAGAGGGGAGGGGGGTCTATTTTGGACCCTCTTTTATGTGGTGACTTGCTATGATAACCTTTATTTATAGGAATTAAGTCAAGTAGTCTGCCGACACTTGGTAGGCCTACAATAATATGAAAATAAGAAATGTTTCTGTTGTTATACTGCCTATCATTACTATTATGTCAGCCCCACCATTGAGTATTGTATTTAGGCAAAAGTTTCTTTGCCTTGGTTCTAGTAGCCAAACTAGTTATATCTATCTACTAAATATGGCCTCTGGCATGATTTTATTTTGTCAGTCTATGTAGAAATGAAATTATATATTACTCTAGCCAATTTTTATGGATATTTTATTGTTATTGTTGTATTGTGTTCTATTTTCTGTAGAGTAAATAATCAATGAAGTTATTTTGATATTTTCAGAAATGGGGGCAACTAGCAGTAGTTTAGGTGATTTAGGGTCAAATGAATATTTACAGAAACTGTCTGGAACTGAAGCCATTGATAAAATAGATCCTTTCTGGAATCAACTGCTATCATTCTCTTTTCTCATTCCAATCAACACGTAAGTTTACTGATAGAAGAATATCATGTCAAATTGTTTCCATCAGACATTATTATAATATTTCAATTAGACCCAAACAAGTGCTGGTACTTTAAGGTTATATATCTACCCTGCAAAAGAAAGTGACTGTAGGAAATTAAACCCTTTTATAAAACAGTGAGAGAAAATGAAAATAAAATGTCATAAATGCACATGCTTACCCTGAATTTAAAGTTAAATCAATGAAAGCATATGACTAAAGCTTAAAATGTTGTTGCCTGGTTATTGCAGCATTAATTATAAGGCCAATTGAGTGCCCAATTGTTTTTAATGGGTTAATTTAAAGATCAAAACATTTAATCTGCAGCAAAGAAATTGGATCGCCGAAAGTTAGGTGAATGTAGGTGGAAATCCCCAGCAAGAAAAGAATTTGTCCTTTTCTGTGGAAAGTTGGAATGTTAATCTCACATCAGCCATAGTTTCTTTCAGAATGGTCTGATAGTTATTGCCATCTATTGATTTCAGAGCCGATTCACGAATATTAGAAGAAGCAACCTCTCAGACATGTCGTAATTTTGCCATAAACAATTGTCATACTGGTAATTTTTCTGCCTTGGTTCACAATTTTTTAATCCGAGCAACAGAACTGAAAGCTTCAGCACAGTGTGAAGAGTAAGTTAGCAATGTTATTATCACCATCTAGGTCTCAGTTGATTGTTTACTAAATACAATGCCAAGAGGCATTACTATGTTTTGTCCAATACTATCCTCATAACTGCATTTTGTTTACACAGGCCACATTAATTTTTTTGTCTTTTATGCTTTGAAATTTAGTTTACCTTTGTTAGTTATACAGGTTAGTGGGCTGACATGCAAAAAAGTGTGTAGTTCTTCAGATGGGCAAAAATACCAAGGCCCAATGTGCACATTACAGAATTATTAAAAGAATTTCCTTCATTGCACACTGCAAAGAATGCTTTATTAGCCTAATTGGGTGCACACAAGTAGGACATTCCATTTTGCTTTATTAAAGAATGCCATCCATTGTAGCTGCATAGGTAACCTTCAACTATTTTTGATATTGTTTTGTTCTGTATTTTCAGTAATATATTTATATGGCAGACATATAATGCATTGTTTATTATCAGAAGTTTATGTAAATATTTTGTGGAACATTTAAGTGAAGAGTTATTATTACAACAATTTGATTGTAAAGCTAATCCAAGTGGTATGTTGTATTCTATCATTTTTGTGGCATGTAACAGAGGCATTAAAGCCAAATCCCAAGTATGGAACTTGGCATTTGATGATTATGGGAAACTTTTCTTCTAAGACTACATGCACAATTTAAAAATTCGTAGGTATAAAGGCATGTTTTTTGTAGACACCATTGTTAACTGTTAAAAATAAGTGTTATTTTGATTGAAATGATTATATTTAAAGAATCTGATGGTGATAGTGAAGATGAAGAAGATGGTGCTGGAGAACAGATGGGTTTATTAGCTGAAGAACTGATGAGTTCATTAATAGAATTATTGGTTGATGTTCCTGTCCTGTAAGTACTGTTTACTTCTATTCACCACTTTGTGACCTTTATTCACCATTTAGTTTACTTCTTTTTAGTACTTGTACTAAGTTTACTTCTATTCAGTACTTAATTTACTTCTATTCAGTATTTAGTTTACTTCTATTTAAGCTTAATTTACTTCTATTCAACATGTAGTTTACTTCTATTTGGAACTAAATTTACTTCTGTTTAGTACTTAGTTTAGTTCTATTCAATACCTAATTTACTTCTATTCAGTATTTAGTTTACTTCTATTCCATACCTAATTTACTTGTATTTACCACTTAGCTGAACTAAAATGGACTTTGTTACTGGTATGCAAATTTTATGGAAATATAAAATCATAACTAAATAGCCTGGCACATTTTTCAAAATTCTTTCCTTTTTTGATTTCAGGAATTTTACCTATGCCCTCCATCTTGAATCTTTAAATACATTACTGGTATTGTTATCAATACAGATGTTTCAAACACAAGCTACCAGTAATTTTACTCTCTATAAGTTTATGATGCAGGGTAAATGGTAAGTATAAGCTAGGTCTATAGATCTGAGATGTGATTATAATATGCCAGGCATCTCTGATAAATTTGATCAGGAAAGGCCATGAAGTGTGCAAAGAGGGACATTTGGCAAAGACAACCCCTTTAGCCTGCTTTTTCCCATTTGAATGACAAGACGTTTTTTCCATGCAAGCCCCTATGGCCTGCATCACTGATGGAGGAGAACTGAATTGAAATATTACAACCTTTACTGGGCTCGCACCTGAGAACCCTTGAAAGTGTTGCTTTGTTATCAGTTTTTATATCATGCATATGACAAGAATCTTTGAACTTAAATTTCAGACTATTTACTATGTATTTGTATTAAAGGGATTGTCAAGAGGTTTTCTAGATTTTTTATGTGTATCGAAGACACTGATAGCATCAATTTGCATTATTCCTATTTTTAATCAGACGTCTGTGCTTAATTCAATTCAAGTAAAAGTAACATTCAATATTTGATGGCATTACTAATCGCAAAATATGTTTTATCACAAAGCCCCTGCGTAATTAGTGACATCATCAAACACTTAGTTGTAGTGGAATTACAGGAACCATAGACTGATTAAAACTTGGAATGGTGCAAATTGATGTTATCAGTGTCTACAATATACATAGAAAAAATTAGGAAACCTCTTCAAAATCCCTTCAAACTAAAATTTTATTATTCTCTGTAGTGGTGGAAAAATTATCAGGCTATAGATATAGTTACAAGGTTTGGCACTTATCTTGCAGTTTCTTACCAGCTAATAGAGCTCAATGTCAGCCATCCATAGCACTTTTAAGAAGTAGAAAACTGACCTCTAGTTCTCATGCAGATCTAATATTGAAAGGCTTAATATTCTCACAAGCATATATTACCATCTGGAAAATTTTTAACTATATATTTAATTCATAGGATTTGAACAACATTTAGAAGTGGAGAGTAGATATAACAAAAAACACAAGGGGTATATTATGGTATAACTCACTTCTTTAATAACAAAGCACATAGCGTTTCAACACAATTTACACGTGTTGTCATCAGATGAAATTGTGTTGAAACGTTATGTACTATTTAATTTATATTTGATATTTCAGATCAATCTGTGACTCAGACTCCTTCCCATGCTATAGCTACATTTAAAATAGATTTTAATAAACTATATCAAACATTATGTGGTACATTACGAGATGATCAGACCACATTGTTATTATATCTATTAATACATCGTAATCCACAGTTTAAAGATTATCTACTATCTAGAACAAACATTGATCAACTGGTAAGCTGATTTCCATATGTTTTATATCGGTCATATCCAAAATACATTGTCCATTTTCTGTTGAGATAGAAAAGTGTTCATTGTAACTGTACAATTTACACATTGCCATTCTGAGTGGAAACACCGCTGCATATACAAGTTTTCATTTGAATGTTGACAGCTAAATTTTTCAAATTTGTCAGTAAGGTAATATTTTTTTTGACTTTTCGATTAATGACTGTTGTCTTTCTTGTTGAATTCTTGAGAATATACTAAAAACATGGAAGGCCTAGGATAGATAGCACAAAAAATAATTATCATGCTTTTTACTAACAGTTCACTGTGTGCAGAATATACAAAAATATAATATGTACCTTCATTTTAGGTAATGCCATTATTAAAGATATTATACCAGGCTATGGAACGTAATTCACACCATATCTACATGGCATTGATAATAATATTGATATTAAGTGAAGATGATGTGTTCAATAAAGCTATCCATGAAATAGTAAGTCTACATCTTACCCTACTTTCATTTGATTTAAATCTTGCTTGTATACTTATATTGGAAAATGAACTTCCATTTCCAAAAGTCCTGATTAGGAATCTGTATCCAAAACATGTCTGCAGTATGATAGGAGCTTGTTTCATGTTTAACAACATCATTCTTTAAGGGGATAGCAAATAAATATTCAGGTTTCAAGGAAGATATTGTTTATTTCGAATGTTAAGGGCAACTTAGGGATAGGGTGATTGAAATTAACAAGTTACTATTCAACAAAAGGCACTGGCACAGGGTTAAATTATTGTTTACAACTATTGTTGTGTTAATATTTAGTAAAATAAGCAGAAGAAAGTAATTTGGAAAGGTTATTGTACATGTGAAACCTTAGACAAGGCAGTAATTTAGTTTCTATTTTGTTTTATTAGACTATAAAGAATGTGTTATGGTTTAAAGAAAGACCATTAACAGAAGTAACATTAGGCGGTTTATTGATATTAGTATTAATAAGAACTATACAGTTTAATCTTAGTAGAATGAGGGTAAGATACTTCTTCATTTTCTCATAGTATATCATATATTATAACTTGTTTATTTGCTATACAGAAACCTTTTTCTTTGGCATATATCTTGGAGATGCAAACAGCAAGTATCAGGGAATTTTTCAATAAACCTATGTGCTACAGACTGTGCAAATGTGCATTGCACACTATACCAGATCTTCATTAGCCCATTCAGTTGATAAAGGGCAGGCCAGTAAAGTAATTTTTCTTTGGCGTATATCTTGGAGATGCAAACAGCAATTATCAGGGAATTTTTCAATAAACCTACGTGCTACAGACTGTGCAAATGTGCATTGCACACTATACCAGATCTTCATTAGCCCATTCAGTTGAAAAAGGGCAGGCCATAAAACACCATTTCAATTTGTCTGCCCCTTTATTAAAGGGATTATAGAAAGGTTTTTCTAAATTTTTTATATGTATTGGGGACACTGATAGCATCAATTTACACCATTCCAATATTCCATCAGATGTCTGTGGTTTCTACAATTCCACTAGAACTTAGTGTTTGATGTCATCACACATCGCAAAGGGCCTTGTGTGATTAAGCATAGTTTGAGATTAGTGACATCATCACATACGCATAAAGACAGAAAACCTCTTTAAAATCCCTTAAGTAAAATGGACAAAAGATATTTTCAGTTATTTTCAGTGCTAGTTATTGCAGCTGTATTGAATTTGCCAAAGCTGTTTTTCTGTTCTTTAGGATAAATACCTTCACACCAATTGTTTAGCAGCCTTAGCTAATATGTCTTCACAGTTTATCAACTTACACCCTTTTGTTGCACAGAAAATTGTCAGGTATATAAGTTATTAGATATATATCTCTTGTTATGGTGCCACTAATTTGGTCAATTGTAATTGTCTACTAAATGATGGTATTATATGATTACAATTTTGCTTTGCTGGGGGTGGAGCTGATATCTCACTAATAGGCATCTGTGCAGACAACTCAAGTCACTCTTTTCCCTCTATACATAAAAGACTAAAATGTTCTAGAACAATTAAACTAGTTATAGCATAGTTAAGCATCTCCTATATGTTTATGAAACAAAAAATCTAGGAGAAATTTCAATATTATTTTACTATTGTGAATTATTATTTTGCTGTGGCTGGTGTTTTGCTACCAAGAGAACCTGAAAGTTAGTATTAATTATTTGGTATATTGATAAATATTTGTTATTGTTGATGCCTTAAACAATTTATTATTGTTTTTTCAGTTTATTTTCTCAGTTATGTAAGAAACAAGCTAAATTAATAGAACAGATCAGTGAGTTAGCTTCTAATAAAACTGAACCCCCTACAGAATCTACAGATGATAAAGCAACTGAACCAGAAGATGAAAGTGCTTTATTGGTAGGTGTTATTTACTTGTGTTATGACTGAAATTTGAGCACAGTCTCTTCCTCTCCTCAATCCTAGGAAGTCATACAAAAATTTAATTTAGAAAAAGATATTTGAACAAATATGAGTTGGGTGTATCATAGAATAAGTTTCTGGTTTAAAATCATGGTAATGTCTACTGAACTCTTAATTCTTGTCAATTAACCTTCAGGAATATTACTGATAATCACCTACCTAGAATAGTGTACATTGCTAATAAATAGATTGGTTGGTTTATCAAACAAATTGCAATGTAATAAACTGCATCATTGTAAAAGATTATGACCAAAGACATATCAGACTTAAATATTTTGTCACTTTTTGCATGAAGATTATTTACATATGAAAGTAAATGAATTATATTTCAGTTACAAGATATGAATGTATTAGAAGAAGTTATAAGAATGGTGTTAGAGATTATAAATTCCTGTCTAGCTACATCATTACATCACAATCCAAACCTGATCTATACCTTACTGTATCAACGTGATCAGTTCTCAGCCTATAGAACACATCCTACTTATCAGGATATCATACAGAATATTGATACTGTAAGTAACACATCATTTTATCATACAGAATATTAATATTGCGAGTAACACATCCTATATATAATGTTATCATACTTAATTTTGGTATTGTAAGTAACACATCCTATATATCATGTTATCATACAGAATAATGCCACTGTAAGTAACACATCCTATATATCATGTTATCATACAGAATAATGATACTGTTAGTAACACATCCTATATATCATGTTATCATACAGAATAATGCCACTGTTGGTAACACATCCTATATATCATGTTATCATACAGAATAATGATACTGTTAGTAACACATCATATATATCATGTTATTTATACTTAATATTGATATTGTAAGTAACACATCCTATATATCATGTTAACATACAGAATATTGATACAGTAAGTAACACATCCTATATATCATGTTATGTATACTTAATATTGATACTGTAAGTAACACATCATGTTATTATACAGAATATTGATACTGTAAGTAACACATCCTATATATCATGTTATCATACAGAATATTGATACTGTAAGTAACACATCCTATATATCATGTTATCGTACAGAATATTGATACTGTAAGTAACACATCCTATATATCATGTTATCATACAGAATATTGATACTGTAAGTAACACATCCTATATATCATGTTAACATACAGAATATTGATACCGTAAGTAACACATCCCATATATCATGTTATCATACAGAATACTGCCACTGTTAGTAATACATCCTATATATCATGTTATCATACAGAATAATGCCACTGTTAGTAACACATCCTATATATCATGTTATCATACAGAATAATGCCGCTGTTAGTAACACATCACCTATATATCATATTATCATACAGAATAATGATACTGTTCGTAACACATCCTATATATCATGTTATCATACAGAATAATGATACTGTTAGTAACACATCACCTATACATCATATTATCATACAGAATAATGATACTGTTAGTAACACATCCTATATATCATGTTATCTTACAGAATAATTATACTGTTAGTAAAACATGCTATATATCATGTTATCATACAGAATAATGATACTGTTAGTAACACATCCTATATATCATGTTATCATACAGAATAATGATACTGTTAGTAACACATCCTATATATCATGTTATCATACAGAATAATGCCACTGTTGGTAACACATCCTATATATCATGTTATCATACTGAATAATGCCACTGTTGGTAACACATCCTATATATCATGTTATACAGAATAATGCCACTGTTGGTAACACATCCTATATATCATGTTATCATACAGAATAATGATACTGTTGGTAACACATCCTATATATCATGTTATCATACAGAATAATGCCACTGTTGGTAACACATCCTATATATCATGTTATCATACAGAATAATGATACTGTTAGTAACACATCACCTATATATCATATCATACAGAATAATGATACTGTTAGTAACATCCTATATATCATGTTATCATACAGAATAATGATACTGTTAGTAACACATCCTATATATCATGTTATCATACAGAATAATGATACTGTTAGTAACACATCCTATATATCATGTTATCATACAGAATAATGATACTGTTAGTAACACATCCTATATATCATGTTATCATACAGAATAATGCCACTGTTGGTAACACATCCTATATATCATGTTATCATACTGAATAATGCCACTGTTAGTAACACATCATTTATATTAATTATATTAATATATATTAAGACTATGGATTTTTTATGATTGTTTATTTACAGGTATTGACATATTTCTCGGCACTATTGGAGAAACAAGGAAAGAGTAATGTTACACCTGGTGAAGTGTTAGAATGTATTAAACAAGGTTCCATTAAATTTCGTAAAGATAGACTTCAGGTAAATATTATAACCTCAGTGCTTGTTCTTCAATATATCCAACCATATACCTGATATCATTATGACCCAATGAATACTTTGCTGGGTCATGTATCTTATCACATTAAAAAGCAACTTTTATTTTTTTTAATGTGAACAATATCTGCAATCATTCCTCAAATATTTCAAGTTAAAATTGCATAGAAACAAGAGTACACTGTGCCATTAATGCCTTGACTCTTTTTTTCCAGAAATTTCCAGAGTTAAAGTTTAAATATGTAGAAGAAGATTCACCAGAAGAATTTTTTATTCCATATATTTGGTCGTTGGTACATCAGTCATCTAATATGTATTTTAATCCAACAAGAATTATTCTGTTTTCTGTGGGCAATGCTGACACTGAGGGAGAACTTAAACTGGTGTAAATAGTGAAAATTGTGAGTTAAATTGTGGGACAATGGAGTAATTTTGGATTTTTGGGAATTTGAATTTTGGATATGTGTGAAACAATGAAGTGGAATTTTGTGGTGATGTGTGTTTAGAACAAAAAGTTACAGACAAAAATATCAGAATTCAGTAAAATTGTGTATTTATATGAACCACAATGCAGTTATTATTCAATACAAGCTGTATAAAGTGTAAAGTTTATTAGTTAATGCTAGTGCAATGCAATTGACTAAAGTAGCTAGAGATATACAGTATCTGATGTAGTGATATGGCTTGTAATATAAAATACAGATCAGATGAATATGCTTGAAAGTAATACAAAAAATTGAAATAATAGTTTGAAATTTCGCAGCCCAATTGTTAAGAAGATGTTGCAGATTTCTCAAGAGCTCCACTTGAAAACTGACAGCTAGCAAGAGTGTCACTCTCAAAAAGGACTTTGTTTAGTCAACACGGCTTTTCAGTGAATATATGATAATTATATTATATAATAATGAAAAATAACATCAATATTTGTATTTCAATTTAAAGAATGTTCACAACTTTAAGACTGAAAAAAAAAGTTTGTGTAAAGAGTGCAACATAAGCTGAGGCTTCAGAATTAATCTTTTATAATGTGCTGTATATACCATATTCATTGTAAATGATTTGTTTAGTGATTTAGTTCAGTTGATTCCTCATCTACTTTACTTACCATTCTTATTTTTCTTACTGGCTATTATTTGTCTGAAGGAATTTTGTTATTGGTGACATTTACATGGTTGTGAATCCATTAAATTGTTAAAATGGTGAATGTACCAGATATTTTAGATACAATGCTAAATTTGTATTCCCATAAGTTAGTCCGAGTTTTTCATATTCACTAAGCAAAACCTTTAATTATAATGGAATCTCAATCACATTATAATATACAATAATGAAATATTTTCACTATTGAAATAATGTCTAATACATCAATTGTAGAGCCATATAGAAATATTAAAACAATATATTTTGCAATATATTACACTAAGAATACTATATTTCTTATCTACGCACAGAAATTCCTTTTTTACTTGTAAATATCTATCTTAACCATGTATCAAAAACTAATAAAAAATTTTCAACAATTCCAAATAAGCAGGGCACATAATGTTGATGTTTGTTATTTGATCCATATGTTTTTACCATTCAGGTCAAAAATTAAGCAAAGGTCAAGAGAAGGCCTTTTTTTCTTAGTCCATGGCATAGTGTGAACAAAATTTAATGAATATTCATGCTGTTATGTCCACTCTACTATATAGTAGTTTTATATCAGTGTAACATTAACAAGAAATGTAAATCAAGTTGCATTTAGTGACCCATGGAACTCCTCAATAATATAAGATATGTTATATATCTGTAAATAGTAGAGTGTTGAGACTTGTGTTATTATGGAATGTGTTTAGACAATTGTTATATATATTACTTATATTTATTGTTATATATTTTCTATATATATATATATATATTATATTATTAGTGAATATCATGTTTGTTAATTATCGTTATCTAAAACCATTTATCATTAAAAATATGGGTGTCAAGATAACCCTTTTTTCTACCCAATAGTGTAAGTAGCATGTGCAAGAAATGTAGATTATGTTTTAATAAGAGATCTCGCCTGGCATGCACTGGCATCGCATGTGGTTCCTGCAATTCCACAAAAAATAAGTGTTTGATGACATTACTAATTGCAAAATATGTTTTATCACATAATGCCCTTTGCACTAAGTGAAGTCATCAAATACTCAGTTTTGGTGGAATTGCAGGAACTACAGACATCTGAGTGAAAATTAGAATGGTGAGATGAGATGAGTGTGCCCAAAGTAAACAACTCTTTACAAAGCCTTTAAGATCAGATATTGTCTCTATATTGCATAATAAAAAATATATTTTTTACTGTGTCATTTAAACAAAGACCGGGCTATTGTGCTTATTAATGCTTAAACTAATGGTTGTGCATTTATGTCTTTGTTCAAATATATTTAAGATAAATGATAAGTTTTCAAAAAGTAATTTTCTTTGTAATTCATTCATTTAGTATCATATCATTAATTTCATTATATTCAAATTTTATTTGGGAATAAACATCATTTAATCTACTGTATGTTTTTGATAATAATAACTCTGGACTACAGACAACATTTGGATAAAAATGACCACATTTAATGGAGTTATGCCCCTTAGAGTCACTACAGTCAATGGATAATAAATGCCAAAGATATTGATAAGATTTTTTAAAAAGAATAAGAAACTTTATGCAAAAGAAAGATTATCCCTTGTTAAATAATTCTAGCTAGCTTCTAACAAGAAAAGAAAAAACCTTTTAATTAGATTATGTATTGGAATTTATTAAGTTTACTCATTGGATCTTTTTACAGATGAGCTCCAAGCTAAAATTTATGATTATTGTATGATATCATGCATACAGAAAAAAGCCTAATATTTGCTGAGGGAAGACTGTTGGGGACAAAATCAATTACTTTGTACCAGAAATACCGTTAAATGAAGTAGAAAAAATAGAATAATGGTAGACAATCAGGAAGTAGAATCTGAATAGTGGTGCCATAATAACTGTAAATCCTTCCAAATTGCCTGGAGATATTATATTAATTATTCAATATGATTATTGATATAGATTAGAATGATGAGATATAAAAATATGAATATTAGATTTTAATATTGCCCCCAGTCTGTCTAGACACTATGACGACATACTAACACTAATTTATATTATTAACTCGATTTACTACTTCTCTATTACATATTTATGACTATTTAGGCATATTTATCATGACTTAAAGTATTTTTTTTTAATTTAGCCCCTAGATACCTGGAAGTATGATATGAGGTATCAAGTTTTTATCTTTAGGATTAAAGCGTAAAAATTATTGTTAATACTCCCTTTATGATTAATGACTTGTAACAAGGCACTTTTAAAACCTGTTTCATTGCAACTCATACTGGTATTTTGCAGTTTGAATTTATATTCAGTAAGGAACATAAAAGTTAAACATAATCTTCATTTCCTTATCATTTGATGCGTTATTGAAATCCAGCCACAGAAAACAAAAACAAAAAAACAGAAGTAATTTTCCCTATGTTCAGACAATAGTCATAAAGCCCTTTCAGATAACAATCTTTAACGTTTGGTTAATTTTCAAGATAAACATTATTTTTTACATATAAAAATTTCCATTTCAATCACAAATTTTATGTTTAATGCTGATTCAAGTAAGATACTGGTAACTTCACTTAAAAATAGTATTTATCAAAGATTTAATACCATCAGTAACTTGGTATAAATACAGTTCTAGTTGCAAAACTTTATAACTAATGGTTTAGTTTTCAGATACATTTGTTGTTTTGCAAAAATGTCATTTTAGAACATAATTCTAAATAAAATTCAAAGTACTTCAATTCAAATAGTATCTCATTCCCAGATACTTCAATTTGATTTTCACAGAATTTTAATTTTCCATTTTAGAACTTTGGCCTAAAAGTTATGACTATTGATAACAATATAACTGTAAATTTTAAACTCAGCATCTGCAAACAGCAGCTTATCGAACTAGAATTAGTAAAAGTCAGTAACGAATTGATTATTCACTTGAATTATTCAGTTTTAAAATTTGGTCATTTTACAATGATTTCAAAGGTCAAAGGGTCAAGGACAAGTGATATTTCACTGGAATATGTTTCTTGGTAATTAGTGATTATCAATTCAGGAAAAGACCAAATCATTGAAACAAAGTCTACACTTCCAAGCTTTGTTTTTGATCAATTGCAGGAGAACTGAGCTTATATTTTAATGCTGAAAAGTGACATGGATAATTTCAATTATTGTACTATTATGTTTCAGTGTTTAATACAAATTGGTTCTATATCTAGCACTATTATCAAGTTATTTTCATCATTATTAAGGAAAATATCAAATAATTTATCTATATTTCTACTGTTAAATCTTCCTGGATAATAACAAATAGTTTCTCAAATAACATCATAAATTATTACATAAGGATAACATGATACAGTTCTTAGTAATGGTGAGGGATAGACAATAGAAAATTTATAGGCTATTCATTTACAATTTAATTTCCTTATTGAATATGCATAAGTCTGTAAATTGTAACTGTAGACTTTGATGACCTTAATTATTAGCACATAAATCAACTCCAGTATGTTTCATTTGACTCCTTTATTAGTCCACATACATCATTGATTTTTTTTTGTTTTTCTATTGCATAGTTTATTATAGGGCGTTTCTGATAGGGTGTTTGTGGTATGATGTTTGTGGTATGGTGTATTATTGGGTGTTTCTAGTAGGATGTTTGTGGTATGATGTATTATAGGATGTTTGTGATATGGTGTATTATAGGATGTTTGTGGTATGTTGTATTATAGGGTGTTTGTGGTATAGTGTATTATAGGATGTTTGTGGCATGGTGTATTATATGGTGTTTGTGGTATGATGTATT